GAACAGGTACGAGTCACGATTCCGTAAAACATCGCCAAAAAACATACGAGGACTTGGGTTGCAAGGATGACTAAAAGCTCACAGGTCTCACCATTAAGTCAACTCATCCGTTCGTGAGACCAGGTGACTTTGCGGAGTCGACAAGCATCAACCATTCAAAACTGTTCATGAATGTTCTGCACCACTTCATAGCAAAGTGCCATCGTTGTGGAAAATATGGAGTTAAAGAGAATACCAAAATGACAGAGCATCCAAATTTGAAGGTCCCATTACATCATGTCCGTGGAAAGACATCCTCAAGTCCGCCCTCACAATCTATATAACGAGCCCAAACTGTCTGGAAAGTGACACCATAACTTGAATCAGGAAATGTGAAGATTCAAAATAGAAACACAAGAAGGAATACCAACCATCGGACGGATTTGGGTCTGTTCAGAGTCAGATCTCCTGAGAAGGTCTTTCTCCCGCTTGCTCAAGTGGAGAATGAATCCTTCTGCATCCGGCAAAAGAGATTCACACGGCGGACGCCCGACAGTGGTCGGACGCGGCCGGGTCCGGTTAGAAAGGTGACGATTTTCATAGTGCCTATCCGCGTTGTTTCTGTTGATCTTTCGCCTTAAAGCTGATTTGGTCATTCCTAGCGAACGACTTAGAGAAATGATCTCAATAACACTGCTGAAACAGAAATGGTAGTTAATTTAAGTGGTACGCTGACATGCCAGAACGTCTGAATGTTCACTTTCATCTAGTAGTTCTCAAGACTACAGAGGTGTTGGTCAGATAGTCAGTCAGCTCGCAAACCACGTACCGAAATGCAGTGGTCCAGACGCTACAACTTCGATCACATAGGATACACAGAATAAGGGACTGTGAGCTACGCGTTGAAGCCGATGGCCCAATCTGTGCACCGATGACAAATGAAACAGTTTGCTACGTATACAAGGAGGTGGGAGCTACGTGGTGAAGACGGTAGCTTTGATGCAAGGCCACCGCTGGTGGCATGATTCAACCATACCTGTAAGGGTCAATATCATCAT